GGGAAGAGCGAGCCCGGAGCCCGGCTCGTGCCCGGATCCGGTCGGCTCGGCCCCCTCCCCGGCTTGGGATGGAGAACGGGGCAAACGGGAGATTTTTTGGCTGCCTTCTCGTCTTCTCCAGCAAAGGGCAGAGTCCGGACTCGCTGCCCTGCCCTCGGGGAGGGTGAAGAGGGAAGCAAAGGTTACTCCGGGGACCCGTGTGCCGGGCGGGAAGTCGCCTCCCGCCCGGGATGAGGCCGGGAGATGGGAACCTCCCCGCCCCGGGCCGGCGTTTGCAACCGTAAGTCCTGGGCTCTTCCCATCTTGACTCCTGCATCACCTGGACCTGGGGCTGCTGCTGGACACGCCGCTTCCCAAGGGGTGTCCCTGTATCCCGGGAACTGCGCTCTGCTCTGCCGGGAATCCCGCTGAGGCCGCGGCAGCCGCCGGGGTTTGCGGCTCTCGAGCCGGGCGGGAGAGACGTCTCCACCGCAGCCCCCAGGCGCCTGCAAGAGCCGCCGCCGCCACCTCGTTTTTTGTTTCCTTCTTTCACCTTTTTCCTGTCGCTTATTTTGTATTTTGCTGGGGCCGTGCGGAGGAAACTCGACCTTAATCCCTGGATTCCGCCTGCGCCGGCACCTCGGAACCAGCAGCGCCCGGCGGAGAGATCCCCGGATGCGGCGTCCCCGCACGGAGGTGAGAGGGCCGGGACTCCGGGGCGCTGCCGAGGGCGACGTTCCCGGTGGCTTTTTCCAACGGGAGCCGCTGCCGCCCGGGACGTTGCTCCCCCACGAGGACTCGGCCTTCGCGGCTCCCCCTCCTCCTCCTCGGCCATCCCATGGGGCAGGAGGAGCCCGAGAGCCTCCCTGGCCCTTTCCCCGCGCTCGGGGGAAACGAGGGTCAAAACCACCAACAAAAACCACCCGCAAAAGACACTTTCTCCTCGGTTTTGTTCGTTTAGCGCCTGTGCTTGGGGTAGGGTGTTCGTGTGAGTAATTATTTCAGTAACTTCACGGGGGGGCTCCTCCTCGTTTCATTGTGAATAACCTCTAACACGCCATATAAAGCTGTAACATACACTAAAGGTAACAAAAAAAAACAAAACTACTGTCGTGATTTGGGTTTTGTTCTTTCCCCCCCGGCACCGTCGGGCGGGGGGAGCCGCTTTGCTGGATCCTGTAGGTTTTTTAAGTGCAAAAGGGGGGATTTTGCCCTCCTTCCCTGCAAGCAGAGGCCGGGGGGGCTGTTTGGAAAAGGAAAGGAGGGAAGGAGAGAAAAGCGAGCGGCTCCCCCGGGGCCGGGCCCGTGTAAATGCTGTTTCATAGCAGAGAAGCACCTAAAGTTTCTACGAGTTTTAGAAGAAGGAGACAAACCAAGTTGCTTTGTAATCTCTTGGGGTTCAAGCACTTCAGTGCCTTTAGCTCGACTTCTGCTCACGTTTCGGGGGGAGGGATGGTTGTTTCGGGGGGGACGGGGGGTGTCCAGCCGATTATGCTACATGAAAAATACGGGCACTGCGAGAGGCTCTCAGGTATCCTTTATTCTTGTAGTAATAATGCAATTAAACTTCTAGTGGTTTCACCCCTGCTGTGCCCTGTGGTCCTTGCCTGGCCCTGCCTGTGTGTCCCGGGGAGGGGGGTCACCCCAGCCCCCCCTGCGCCCCGGGGGATACCAGCGGTTTAAAAGAATTTTCCTTTTTTTTTTTTTTTTTTTTTTAATGCTACCTAATCAACAGGACGAAGGGTTAGTGCTAAACACAGAGACCCGGGAGGCTCCAGGCCTGGGTGGAAACGCGGCGCCCCCCGGGCCCTGCGCTGCCCCCTCCGGCCCTCACCGTGGCCTCGGGGCTGCTCGAAGCCGCCCCGGCCCTGCCCCCTGCTGCGAAGGGAGGGGAGAAATTATTGCAAAAAGGGAGCAAAAAACCCGGCCCGGCGCGGGGGAGCGCGGGGCCCCGCGGCGGCCCCGGGGCCAGA